AAATTGTAATGAATATTTCTACTCTTAACACCTTGGCAAGACAAGTGTTTGTTTTAAAAATTAATAGAAAATGAAGCCCACAGGAAGTGACAATTAAGAGCCAAATGTGCGGTTTTGCTTCACATGAGTTATTTAGCCGTACATTTTGGGGTGTTCTTTCTCCTGTTTGCCACTTTCAGAAAATCAATAAAACGCATGTGAAAATATCTAAATGAACACAGGGGAAATAGTGTCAGAAATCAATACTTCTCTACCAGCATGTTTAACCTGCTGAAATGAAGTGTTAATCACAGAAATAAGATACCATATTACATTTATAAACTAATGAAACTAGAAAAAGCAAAGCGTGTGACACTATAATTAAACAGCTGGAGGACATCCAAGCCTGTGTAAGTTGATAACCCTGGTACAATCTCTGGCAGCGAAAAGGCAGGTCTGCAGTGAGTCGATATGGCCAGCTCGGTTGTTAATTGAATAACAGGCAATCTATAAACACTACTAATTGCATATGTGAAAACCTGTGTACAACTCAAGACGCTGCCTAGAGAAACACTCCAGAAAAACTACATGGATAAAGCACTCGGCAAATCTTCTGTCTCTCTCAATCCCTTTAAGTCATAGCTTAGTTTCACCACTGCCTCCTTCTGATTAACCTCTACCCGGCAGACTTAATGATACATTTTTCAAAAGATCATTTTTCTTCCTAACCCAATACACACCACACAACTATCAATTACCCATTTCAGAAAAGAACAAACAAGTAATCTAGAAAATTCAGCCTGTGAATGGAAGGCTTTCTAAATCGTAAAAGAAGACATGGTCTTATTCCCAACAGGCAAAATGCTTTTCAGAATTGTTCCGACGCATTTTGCTGAAGTGCGGCAGCTGCTGAGAACAGCATGAGTGTTAAGATTTGACACTTTTTTTTTTCCTTCCTTAAGGATATAGCCATTTGGGGAGGCTCAGAAACTGTTGTCAGAATTTTACTTATTCATCCATTTAATAAATCCTTTAAAATGATTATGTCAACCCTGGCGAATGCAAAACATTTCAAAACTATCGCTCTAGGACCTAAACAAACTTTATTTTTTTAAATCTGCAGAGAAGACTGCTTGGCTCAAGGGATTAGTCATGAGATATGAAACGTCCTCCAGTTTAACATTCAAATCCAAATCAGGCCCGTCCAGAGCAAAGGTCATGATCATTCTGCAAGTGTCTAGCAGCTTCCAGGAAATGAATTGAGAGACTTACTCCACTCCCTGGTGGATATAATATCACATCATAAAACCTGGAACTACCAGTCAGAGTACCGTGTGGTACTCGGAAGCACAAGTACTGCGGCTAGACTGACTTGTCTTCATCCTGGCTCCAACATGAACAAACTGCGGGCAAGAAGCTGAAAGTCATGGGGCCTCAGTCTCAACGTCTATAAAATGGGAACTGCAAAATATACCTGGTAAGGCTCATTAGGAACCAAAGAGATGATAGAGGCAATATGCTCCATAGAGTGTCTAGCCTAAAAGGTGCTCGGTAATTGTAGAGTTTTAAAAAACAAAGCATGTATTAACCATTACAGACAAACGGAAGGACAGAAAGATGGGCAGCACCAGCCTACAGTCAAAGACCTGAGTAGGGCCCGAAGCTGACTTTCTCTCCACACTTCATCATAATGGAAGAGAAATCGAGTTACACCAAAATTCCTAGGAAAAAATGTAAATTTAAACATCTCCACTTTAAGACATAGACATATAGTAGCAAACTGCATTCTACCAAGACTGAGGGGAACTCCTCAAATATGAGGCCTTTGGTCAACTGGAAACACACACACATGGAAAAAAAAAAAAAAACTATAAGGGATCATTATTAATTAATTGTTTAAAAAAAAACAAGCTGATAAGTAGCACAGGTGACAGACGGTGTGCACAGGGAAATAAATGAGGTATATGAAAGCACTGTCACCTCTGCTTTTACCCCAGATATTTGCTCCCCAGGGAATTCTCTCTTTTAAGATTTTATTTATTTATTTGACAGAGAGAGACACAGCGAGAGAGGGACCACAAGCAGGGGGAGTGGGAGAGGGAGAAGCAGGCTTCCCGCGGAGCAGGGAGCCCGATGCAGGGCTCGATCCCAGGACCCCGGGATCATGACCTGAGCTGAAGGCAGCAGCTTAACGACTGAGCCACCCAGATGCCCCTCCCCAGAGGATTCTTAATCCCAAGAGTCCCTGGACTGCTAGGAGACAGGCCTGATTTATAGTGTTCAGCTAGGAATTTGGGGCACTTTGACCAAAAATCAAAATTGGCAAAAAACCCTCTTTGTCAGTTTTACCAATTAACCTGACTACCAAAAGGCATGGGAATTGACAAGACTTTTACAGACCAACCCGGTCCCAGCAGGTATTGCTAAGTCTCCTACGCATTCAGAGGCAGAATAAAAGTGAGGAGGGGGTACAGGCTTCTGTCTCTGCTACAGCCCAAGGCTCATTTCACTGGTGGAAATCCCCACCTATGATATGGGCACGGCAGTCTTTTGGAACCTACACCTGTTTCCAGCACATCCAGCCTCTCAGCACGTATAAGCAGTTAGATTTCTCATCTTACTGCATTTGAACTTTAAGAATTTGGAAACTGTCAACATAGAGCTCTCTGCTCTTGAATTAATTTTACTTCTTGCTCCAACAATCTAAACTTCCTGCTCGTAGGGCCCAATATAAACCCACTTTTAACAAATGTGAAACGAAGCAGGATTCATTAACAATAATCAATACACTAGAATACAATCGTATCCAGGGGCGCCTGGATGGCTCAGTCGTTAAGCATCTGCCTTCAGCTCAGGTCATGATCCCAGGCTCCTGGCATCGAGCTCCACATCGGGCTCCCTGCTCCGCAGGAAGCCTGCTTCTCCCTCTCCCACTCCCCCTGCTTGTGTTCCCTCTCTCGCTGTGTCTCTCTGTCAAATAAATAAATCAAATCTTAAGAAACACATACACACATAAAATACAATCGTATCCAGATGAAAGTCCTCTTAGATTTCAAAAGGAAAAAAAAAAGTATCCAGCTAAAATTGCATTGCATTTTGAGTATTGAAATGCGGATATCAAACAAGGCATGACCATTTCCCAAATAACTCTATGTGAGGGTGTGTGTGCGAGAGAGTATAAACATTAGCCACATAGATCTCAGTTACATGTAGTTAATACATTTGTACCATTAATGCAGGTACCCAAAGAGACTTTACTCAAAATGAAATGACATCCATTACTTGAAATCAGAAGAGACTAAACTATACAATGTGGATCCTTCAATTAAACTAGAAGAGTCCCCAGGACCATTTTTTTAAGGCAGTTTGTTTTGTTTGTTTGCAAATGTGTGATCACAAGATGACAAAAAATCCTTTAGGGAGAAAGGATTCATAGATTTTAGTGAGTCACACCAAGAAGAAAATTGTGTCTCTGCATGTCCTCCATTGAAGCCAACATCATAGAAGATTCCTGATATAAATAGATGAAGACTATTTTTCAAAAATCTTAAAATTTCTATCTTACTACAGAAAGGTTTTCAAACTGTTACCCGCATCCAAAACCCTGAAAGCACCTATTACTAATTCATTTCAGTTCAAAACAATAATGAGTAGCATACCAGATAGACAATAAGCTTGGTAGCTGAATAAAGAATCCTTTCCCTCCAGGAGCTCCACGTGAGAATATATCTTAGACTCTTCCCTATAATCCAGCGTTGTGATACACTAGACCACCGTTCTACGGAAGTACAAAGGGTAAGGATAGGTGGCTTCTGAAGTGGAAACAGGATTTTGTCAAGATGAGAAGTTAGGGGAAAGGACATCCCAGAGAGAAGTTTCATCCTAAACAAAGCGTGTGGTTGAAAATGCACGAACTGATTTGGAAATGACAAGACTACAAAGTGCATAAAGGTGGAGTGGTGGACTATAAAGCTGCAAAGACAAGTCAGGATGAGGCTTGGAGTCCATGCGAGATAGTTTAGAATTTCTCCCAAAGCCAATGAGGAGACATCCAAGGGATATTCTTGAGCGAGGAGGTGATGATGAGAACTGTGTTTTAGGAGAGTCCCGATGGAAGGGTCAGACTGTGGGGGGCACCAGGGCCTGACCTCTGGAAGCCAGTTAGAAGGCCCGTGTAACTGCCCGAGTGAGAAGTGAGCAGGTATGACCAGGACAAGGAAGTGAGAGGAGATTTACGTGATACTTCAGGGTGAACATAGACAGGAACTGGACTGGATGTGGAAAGAGAAGGATCACCAAAGATGAGCATGCCATTTCTAGATTGCCTGACTGGGTGGTGAGGCTATTAACTGAGGCAGGAAATACAGAAGGATAATGTTGGAAAACTTCTGAGACTAGCCAGGGTAAAAACTACTTGTTATATATGCACAGTAGAGAAAATACTATGACATCCAAACTAAAAGTACAGTATGCCCAGGTTAGCATGGAAAAGACGTCAACTTTGGCTTTTTCAATTTAAAAAAGCGTACTTATCCTTCTTAGCTAAATCCACTGTCAACACTCTACTTTTCATATAGTAAAGCTCACTAAGCTTCTTAGATTATATATCTCCATCCTCTCATTTCTTTGATTATTTCCTATGGATATCCTGTATCTGTAAATCAGATCTTCTTAAACTCCAGAAATTAAATCTCGATGCAAACATTTCACTCTCTCCTCAGAGAGCATGTGTGTTTGGAGCTCATGCATGACTCACGTACAGCCATTAGAAACTATCAGAAAGGAATTGTACGAGTTTCATGGGCATGCGGAAAGTAGAGGGGAACAAAGGCAACCTCTTCCCATTGTGTTATAATTTGGGCCCCATAAATCTTCCAGAAGAGGTGGTCAGTACAGAAGAGTTAGAGCAGGCCCGGTGTGAAGAGGGGTCACACCGGGGATGTGGCAGTTACCAGTGAGAGCTGAGATGCGCTGGGAAGTATAAAAGAAGGAAAACAGACTCGGAGGAATGCATCAGTTACCTTCAACATCGCAACTCAGGTAGTTACGCACTTCATTCAAAATGAAATTGATATCTTCTTCCGAAGGAATGGGATGGTGTGTGACATCTGTTGGAGTGTCGGTAGTGCCAGCTATAGTCATCTTCTGCCAGGGTAAGAAGAATATAACTCGCCCATCACTGGTTGCTGGGTCAAGAAGTCCCATGCTCTCGGGGCTGATGGAAAAAGGAGGGTTATACATTTCTGAAATTAGCAGACGTTTAGTCCTTCATCTGCATTCCAAAAACTACTTTGTTCACTAATTGTCATATAAGCAAACAAGAAAACACATGGACTATTACTTTTACTGCCAAGGCTCTGCCCTAGAAATTCCTGAAAGAGAAAAAAATAATTTTGGCAACAAAAAAGAATGGAGCAAGTGTGATAATAAAATTCACAGCAGACTCTGAGAAACAAACTGAGGGTTCTAGAGGGGAGGGGGGTGGGGGGATGGGTTAGCCGGGTGATGGGTATTAAAGAGGGCATGCTCAAAAAATAAAAATAAATAAAAATAAATAAAGAGGGCATGCTCTGCATGGAGCACTGGGTGTTATATGCAAACAATGAATCATGGAACACTACATCAAAAACTCATGAGGTAATGTATGGTGATTAACATAACAATAAAAATTTAAAGTGGAAAAAAAAACCTAATGATGTAACGTATGGTGATTAACATAACATAATAAAAAAAAGAAAAAAAAAGAAAATTCACAGCAGAACCAGCCCTCCCCATTTCAACAATGCAAGGTTAATTACGAAAGTGGACTTCACCTTCCAATTGTTTGGGTTTTTATATTCCCTGGACCATTCACATCAGATAATGTCAGTGGGATAAATGCTCTAATTCCTTTTATGATGGTCAATTAAGGCGAGCTCTACAACCTTTTTTCAAGTCTATGAAAAGCATTTTCCTGGGACATTTGACATTTGGCACATCTTTCAGCATAAGGTCTCAGAAGTACATGAGAAAAGCCAGGGGTCTAAGTTTCTAGAAACTAAAATGTAATCAAAAAGTTCTTTACTCCTTTGTAACCCAGACGGACTTATACCACTTCACCAAATCGAGATTTTTGACTTTATTTCAATTTTACAGAAACCTCAAGAAGTGCATCAATGAGAAAAGGGCTCAGTTTTCTCCTACTACTTAAATAACAATGTATCAGGACAAGGTCAAAAAAGAGAGGGATATCTTAGCAATGACAATCTTTAAACAGATGTAAGAGGCTAAGGTCTTATACTATTAAATCAAAGTTCAAGGATGCCTCTTTGGACATATTACATAAAATCTTCCAAAATATTAGTCAATAATTTTCACTAAACACATACTTAATATTCTAAAGCCAAATTATAAAACACACTTGAAATAATAGGCAACTATAAATACATAGTAACAAAACCTGTCCAATGGTGCCATTAAATCGCTAGAAACTGTTGTTTTAATGCATTCATTAACCATTCAAAGAAATTTGGAGAAGTTGATAAGGGGTGGGAGGAATCTTGAAGTGTCATGTTCAAATCATCCCTACAAATGCTCAGTGACTGAATCCTCGCAGCAAGCCAATGTTAAAGGTATTTTCAGCTTCCATTAATGAAATTTCTTAAATAGAAAACACAATTCCATTTGGTTTAAATAAATTTCAACAAGTCCCTCCTACATCCACAAATTTTAAAGGGCAAATAGTCAAATTTTTATGTTTATCATTCCCTTGAAAAAATGTTTTTTAAAAAAACCTCCTATTGATTCAAATGTGTAAGGATGAGAGACTAACAACTGCTTAAAAGCAAACCAAAATAATTATTTTATGAAAAAGAAATCTAGGGGCCCCTGGCTGGCTCAGTCTGCGAACACACAACTCTGGATGTTGGGGTCATGACTTAAACTTCAGGTTGGGTATACAGCTTACTTAAAAAGATAAAAAATTTAAAAAAAAGACCTACAAAATAACTTGTTAAAAAAAAATAAATCTATAATCAGCTTAGCTAATGCATCTTCTTCATGTAAACTGCAAGGAGTAGGAGTCTTTCTTTGCAAAGACCCATCAGTCTCATGAAATGCTGCCATTTTCACACATCCTTTGTATACAGAAACACTGTCTACAGCACACTTGAGAGACACCGAGAGAGTGGGCCACAGTTCTATTTAGCATATGCAAAAAGCACCACAGAAGTGTGTCAATCATTTAAGCCTTCAGCTAAGATCTCATCTTCACCCAGGTTTACTTAAAGAAAATAATTTCACTTTGATTTTTATATATTGAAAACTACAAGGATAGAATATTTTATACTTTCTTGCTTTGTGTATGTCCTAAGACTCTCTAAAAAAAATCTTAAAAGAAACCAGCTAATTATGTATTTTGTAAGCAACTGATTTGATCCCAGGTTAATATGCCCTTACATTAAATCAGTCACTTTGGGACTGGGAATTAACTCATTCAGAGTTCAAGCTTCCAATGTGATAAACAGTACCATGCTGAAACAAAAGGAGAAATTCCATATCCTAATATTTAAGAACCCACTATATGTTGGTATATTTTATGTATGATCATTTTATGGACCAGATATCATATGATGTGCTTAAATAACTCAATAAACCTGATAAACTTCAGCATAAAATTATAATAGTCAACCACCTAGACATGAAATGCTATTAGAAAAGTAAAACTACTGAATCCTTTAAAATCTTTCAATGCAGTAAAAGCAGTTTAAAGGGTGAAGGTGATGGTTACCAACACACACGTAACTGGAACCTGTAGAGAATCAACCGCTTAAGCGAAGACATATGTGTCAAACATAAAATTAACAAGCACAGAGGGAAGACAAAGCCACTAATGAATGGTATAAAAATTTAAGAATCCACTTGGAAATACCTTTCATCGGCTCTAAATTACCTAATTCATACTCTCCCTTTGGGAAAAGTTTGTTTTCTCATGAAGGATTAATTCTGCAAGGTCACGCTAAAGTTTGAAAGTGGATATCAACGACAGTGATGGTATATACAGCCCAGGGAGGCAGAGGTCTTTTTCCAATATGTATGATTCACTTGACATCAGGAGGCAAAGCTTGCTGCTAATTTATGTGTGTGTCTAGGATTAAACATAATGAACATTTTTCTCATGCAGACCACTGCCTTCCTGAAGTACCCTTATTTAAACTGAAATCAATTTATTGTTAACTACTTAGCAATCAGTGTTAGAGCTAACAGTATGCACACAGCAATACAGAAAAAAAAAATTGACCTCTTGCTAGTGATAAAAGGCATCCATAGGTAGAAGGAGGAAATGATTATTTTCATGTATTTTAGTCATTTGCTGCATTGTTGCTGCTTTTGAAAGAGCATATAGCCACAACTCTGATGAAAATTGCAGATTTGTTCTTAATGTCAGCTAAAGAGTACCTTTAAAAATAAATGATTTCTGTGTGCTGGGTTTTCTGAAATTAAAATAATCCAAACGAAAAAGTTGCTACCGTGGCACGTGTAAGTTAGGGTCATAACAAGCTTAACAAACGACATGACAATACTCTCAAAACAGCCCAACAAGGTATACACATGGTCCTTGCTCTACATTTTAGCAGCCTACACTCAAAAAATCAGTGGCTACTGAACTCACTGCATTTCTAAACTGATCAGGTTCTAGTGGAAATGTTAGGCCTTAAGGTACCATCATCAGTCAGTTTATAGGACAACCCCAGAAGGTCTGACTCATCCCCAAGGACCTAGTCGAACCCTTGAGCTATAATTGAGTGTGACTAACTGATGAGCCCAGAAAGCCATTTCAGTCTGACCCCACCCAAGAGAATGAGATGATACGGAGAGCAAAACCACCCCTCTGGAATGCCTTAAGGTCAGTGCTAAAGAGGGAATAAACCCTTAATCCAGGCCATAATCCCAAAGGAAGGGGCTCAACTACAACAGACCTTGAATAGGAACTAGGCTGCAAACCACTCCTTTAAGGTTTCCAACAGGATGTACAGTGGTTATAGTTCAAGGTGCTAAAAACGGGGACATTCGTTTCTCCCAAAGTAGCATGAGATCCCTTACTGCATCCGAAGCATGCCCAGCTGTAACTAACACTTTCATGATTTATGGGGAGGGGTCCTGAAGCTAATGACAAATTTGGGGGGGGGATTAAGAAAGGCATTCCGTTTTGAAAATATTACATCCAGGTGATATATATTTACATTTCTTTGAAAACACTTACCTACTCTGCTATTAGCATATTATAAAGTATAGTACAGAACTGTATGTGTAGCATGACCTCTTTCATGTAAAATTTTAAAACTATAGACAATTGTGCAAGTATAAATGCACAATTTTATGGAAGGAATCATAAGGAAGTGTTATTGATTACCAGAGAAGAACTGAAGTAAGGGGTAAGTGGGGGACATGAGGAAGAAGAGAGACTCTCACTTTTCATTTTGTATCTTTCTATATTTCTATAGTGATTACTTTTACTTATTTACTTTTGTACACATGGGTTATCTGAGCAATAAAATGAAGAATCATATTTTGTTTTCATATTTTAACTTCTCTATATTAAAAATATCCCATGTAGGTTTTACATTAAATTTTGACTTTAAAAGAAGCAACAATCTCAATTTGGGCAAGATAACACAAAGAAGTTAATAGGATTCATTCAAAAAATACTTACTGGTCACTATACGTGCCAGACACTTCATGAAGAGTAGCCAAAAAAAAGGGATATAAAGTAATCAAAGGATCATTGTCAAAATGTATACAAATTAGTTATTACCATGAGATAAGGAACTAGGAGCTGAAAGAAGTAGCTTGCCAAGGTCACGCAGTCAGCAAGAGGTAAAGAGATGAACATCAAGTTCTATGCCAAGGTATCACTTTAATTTACCCTCTGTCTCCCCATTTTAATGATGGGTAAACTAAGGTTTACCGAATATAAGGCCTGTCCCAAATGATGTCATTATTAAGTGGCAGAATTAACATAGCATGAGACAATAGTGAAGAAAATATGAAACATGATACACAAGAGATTATATTGAACCTACTAAGATCCAAACAAATATGACAATGTGTGTGTCCATGGTTTAGGTATTATATCTATAGTCTAAGAGATAATTAAAAAAAAAAAACTTACAAACTAGCTGGACTTGCATATTTTTAATCCAATACAAAATAAATGCGTCTAATGAATGGAACTATTGTTGAAAACTCCTATATACAAGAAACACTTGCATATTTACATATATTTACTTCTCTCCTTTCCATTTAACTAAACTGTGGTTAGCAGTTTATAAAACTCTATTAAGTACCACTGCATACATTTTTATCATTAAGCCTGAAAACACCTTGGTTTCTTCAGTCCTAAGTGAAAATACTAATGATGGTCTACTTATTACACATAGACATTTAGAAAATGAGAAAGAAATCTTGGAAGTTGGTGGATAAGAAATGGGCCTTCATATTTTTCTTGATAGAAGTATAATATTTTTCTTGGTAGAAGTGAATTTGGTACAAATTAGGTGTATCCTGGACTCTCCTCAGGAAGATTTAGTTACTGAAAAACTCATAATAAAGCAAAAGCATCATAGAACATAGCAGGATAGCATTCCAGGAAAATGCAGATGTTAAACAAAATATAGATTTTGTACATCCATTTTATCAAATATTAAAAGATTTATCTAACCTTTATGGAAGATTATTAAAATACAGAAGAGATAACTCTCATCCTAACCACATTACCTAGAAATTACCACCAGTTACTGTTACTCATAATCACCTAGAGATAATCATCTTTACTATTTCTATATACCTATACAGTGTTTAGATCATACTACACATAATCTTGTATCATTCATTCTAGACTAACATTGTATAATTAGTGTTTTCCTAAAACATTAAAGTTACTTACAATTATAATTTTAATGACTATATAATATTCCCTTGTGCAGATATGCCATAATTTACTTATCCAATCTTTTAAGGTTAGGAATGGAAGCAGTTTCTAATATTTCTCAACTACAAATAGTATCATAACAAATAGCTGGAGCCTAGATCATTACTCCACACAAAATTGCTAGTTTGCTACTAGATTGACTACATACGGAGTTAAAGACAGTACATATGGTCCATACTCTTGGCATGGTCACATGAATTTTTTCCACAGAAGTCTTGAAATGTACATTAGAGCAAATCATTATTAATTTCTTAACTAAAACTATCGAAATGTTTCTTTTTTAGTTAAAATTTTCCAAAATGTGTAAAAACAGAACCGTTTAATGTGCCCATCATTCAACTTAGAAGATTTTCAGTTAATAGCTATTTTTGTCCCATCTCTATCCCTACCCATTTCTCTACTGACAATGATCTCTGTTAATATGGTAGATTCTAAATTAGATTCAATTTTTACTTGCTGTAATATTTTTCAAAACACATTTTTAAAGCCATAAACATACAAATACCTGCGCAGTCCTCATTTTCAGATCCTCCATAAGCAAATTTGAGTATTTTATGAAACTAATTTGTTGGTGTTTTCATTAATATGCCCTTCGTGGAAATTTTTACTCTACCCACCTTTAATAGTTTAATTAAAAATCAAAAATCCTAAGGCCCGGTCTCTGAAGGTGAGTACACTGAAGGAAGTACAAAAAATAGGTCCCAAATCACTAACCCCGAGAAATGAGTCTTGTTGTAAGAGCTAAGAAAGTCCCACGTCTGGATTGTATTTTGTGTTTTGGAAGAGTTCCTTAGCTTATTTCTCCTCATTCTGAACAGCAAGCTAGACCATCTCTTATTAAGAGAAGTGTGCTGGAAGACCAAATGCGGATGACTTCCTGCGGCCCCCACTGGGCCTCCGGCGCCCCCGGTAGCCGGTTACCTGTAATAACCAGGCATCACGATGTGGACGCCGGCGCTCGGCTGGCAGATGGCCGTGGCGTTCTTATCATCCATTTTGCGCACGGTGTCTGTGAAAGGTCCCGTAGCATTGATAACACACTTGGCTCTCACATCAAACTCCTGCCCTGTGAAAGAAAGCAGCAACAATCACATGCCCCATTTGTTTCTCTGCTCACTGATGCTTTGGATTATTAATTCGCCTATAAACTTAACCTATGGCGAAGTATACTGTATACCACACTAAGTGACACGTGCTGGCGAAGTTACTGGAAAGCCACACAAAGGGCTTGCATCCGAGGTAATTTACCCAAACAAGACCATGCTGAAGAAAAGGCCCGCCACTTCTTCATCTCAGTTCTGTCTAGTTTGCAAAGTGCAACTGAGTGCCAAACGTGAAGAAAGTGGGATGAGTAATTAAGCCGCTTTCTCCTTAAAACTCAACTGTGGAAACAGCATTGCCTTGAGACAACATATTTCTCAGCGCTGCTTCTGTTCAAGGCAACGAGGTAATTTTGAAACTCTCACTCCGTGGCCGTAGAACCAGGACAAGGATGAAAACCTAACCAAAGTGAAAGTGATTGACTCTAACCACATATAAATGCACCGCCTGCGCCTGTGTCAGTTGCTTTGAAACTTGGCACATTTATTTAATTTTATTAATAACATGTTTTTGTAAAGCCAAATGGAATGCATTCAGAGCTGTGGGAATTTTGTGAGCATTTATTATTATCATTATCATTATTATTATTTAACACAAAGGGGAAAACTTGCCAAGTACCACAAGGGAAAATTTTCCCGTTAAACCAGTCATTGTTGACAATAAGGAATATAATTAATAGGACTCTGAAATCTGGCTTAAATAAAAGAGAAGTGACAGAAAAATTGTAATTCAGTCATTACATAGGCAAGACAAGATGCTAAGAAATGCCTCCCTGCTCGAGCCCCAGCATACCTGTGAGCACATCCTTACACCGCGCGCCGCTCACTCGCTCTTTCCCCGTGTGGGGGTCTGTCTTCTTGAGCAAACTCACTACCTCCATGTAATTGGCTGTGGCAGCCCCATACCTGGCAGCAGTGAGGGCAATGGCGAGGTTCATCCGTGCGTCGTTGTGTTGTCCTGCAGCAGGGGAAAGCATCAGAGGAGGGACAGAAGTCACCTCGAGCCACAGACTGGTGGTACAGAAGTGTGTCACAACAGATATGTCACGTTGGTCCCTGTCACCCAGAATATACATGATGGCTGGTCACCTCTCTAGGGCATGATTTAAAAACTACGTGGTCATTCTCGGTCAGGCATTTACCTGCCACTCCACCAAGTGCACTTTGTGTACCGCAAAAAGGGCAAAAAAAAATAGCCGTTTCCTACAAGAGCTCACATCGATTATCTGAAAGTTAAGAAATAAGTAATTATTCTCGCAGTTTGGGCACATATGTATATGTCAGACTTTTCCCAATACAGACAACCCATATGCACGCAAGTGAAGCAATTCAAAACCTCAGAATATCTGACACCCCAACTGGTGTTGATTAACAATTTTTATGAGTATGTGCTCTATCTAATATTCAAAACCAAGAGCTTAATCTTCCATAGAGAATCTCTTGGTATTCTATAAAAGGATTTTTTTGGGTTTGACTTTTGATCAGAGCTCCTTAAAATGTAACATTTTTTTAAATCACACATAAAAGGTAAGAAATTAAGCAGGGCAAAATTTAATTACAGAACAATTCCTACCTGTATTGTTAAAGATTTATTGCTGAAAAATCCTAGTTTAAGAAAACTAAGGGGGAGGTGAAGAGGGGGGGAGATGATTAATCACTTTAAAATACGGGCATCACTAGAGACGTTTTCTATTTATTATTGCCAGTGGAGTTCACGCTGACCAGGAAGAATTACTCTACATTGCAGGGGCCAGGTTCTCTGTGCCCTGAATAATTAATTACCCAGGGCTAGATGTATTGAATCAGGGTTCAAATTCTTACACAGTGGGATCAGTTCTATCAAGATAATACTGATAAAGGGATGAATTTGTAATGGATATTGTTGTTGATTTATGTTGCCAGCATACCAAACATTTAGTATAAATGGTTTATGTAAAGTTTCTTCCTTGTGATTCAGTCTGTGCAAGGCCAGAAGCCCTGCACAGGTAATCTGTTCCAGCTAAAAGGGCAAAGTTATAAAGAGAGAATCAATGACCGAAGATTCTGCCACCCCTCCCCACAAACATCTTATTCTAAAACTGCTGAACTAATACGATCAGCCAAGAACCTTTCCCTCTACATTAAATCCTGTCAGAAGAAAACATACATTGAACTTCAACATACAGAATAGGGGGCCATTTTACCCAGAAATGAACAGAATGGACATAGGGAGAGAAAGGAACAGGAGCAGGAGCAGCTGAAGGGTAAGTGGGAGGAAAACTGGCAGCATTTGGATCAATTTCAACTCAGCACGACCCTAAAGTTGCCATTAAAATAGTCAGGATATATATCTGAAGTTAAGCCTAAGAAACCAACTTCTATTAATGGAGGGTTCATTTAAAATTGGAAGATGCTCCACCAAGTTAGATACATGCAAACAAACCAAAGAAACTAAATAAGAATTCCATTATAGATCTCCTCTCTAAACTACAGAGATTACACATCTAAACAAAAGAGAGGAGCCATCCCATCCAATCCTTCTACTAGATTTATATACATAACAATGAAACACCCTACCAGTGGTACAAGAAATCCAAGTCACGTTTGCATGGTAGGAAAACTCACACCTCACCAGGTGTGCCTTGATTTACACACAGGACCAGTCTCTGGAAAGCCACGTGTAAATTAACTATTATAAATCCTATATGAAGTCATTGTCCAGAGGAACCAGGCAGAAATCTGATTTGTTAACTGACAGATTATTTTGTAAAGCAGTGTATTTATTACATAGTCATCTAGTAATAAAACGCGAGGCTTTGAAAACCCAAAATCTCTCTCTTAATACCGTTTCAAAACATAAAATCTCATCGGAACAGCACTGGTAGCGTGCATCAAGCTCTGTTGCTTCTATACTAAGAAATGCCCACCTGATTAGCCTCCAAATCCCAATACTTTTTAAGGTAAACAAGATGGACCTCAGTTAAAATGGGAGGAGGAAATAAGTTTCCTTGATCCTTATTTTCCATTTATTTTCCACGCCCGCCATACTACCCAGCAGCCCTGCCTTGACTCTAATCAGCGTGTCACTTACTTATGAACTAAGGGCTTCATGCTATGATTCTCACCTGCCACAATTCTCCCACTCCCACTATTCTTACTATCTGGGGTTGTCAAATTTTTGCAACTCCCCCAACATTCCTGCCATTTCACACCTTCTTGCCTTTGTCCACACTAATTCTTCTGGCTGAAATACTACTCTGGAAGCTCAGACAACCCCTAGTCATCCCTCCGTGATCTGATTCAAATAACTCCCCTCGAAGTTCTGCCTTCCCTGAGTCCCTCTCCAAGGCAAAGTTGTTCATCCCTTTTTCTGAGCCAATATCATATCTTGTATCTACCTTTTTCCTAGCCTTTATAATATTATATTCACCCATGTTTCCATCACCTTAAAAAAATAATAAGCCTTGATTATGACTCAAGCACTGAGACAAATGCAGGGAACACACTGGTCTCCTGGAACTTACCTGCCAGTGTAATCACCGTATGATTTCCCACCTCCTCATCCCAGTCATGGGAAGGCAGGAAGCCTTTCTTATTCATCTTTTTTTTTTTTTTCCCTTGTTAGTACCAGGCACAGACAGGTATTGAGTAATGTTAAGTTTAGCCAAATTCCATTCAGTGAGTTAAATAAACAGGTTTATTTATAGTCTTAGATATACAGTCTTATAGATTTATATCAATTTTATATAAGTTTATAAATTTTTACAGTCTTTATTGATCTATAGTCTTACCTCTAATTATGGAGTGTTTTGTCTCATGTTAAAGAAATTTCAGACATCAGGAAATTGGTGACAAGAAATCTGAGGGAAGCAGAGAAACCCCAGAAATGTGGAAAATCTGAACTTAAACCAAAACTAGCCCTTATTTTTAAGTTGGATAAGTGGGACAGGGGAGAAGTGGTTATGAATGATTCCCTCAAGACTCATCCCGTTTCCCCTTGCTCTGGAGGGGAGTGCAAACACAGCTATGGTAAGTTCTTAAAAATTGAGGAGTAAGCAATTTGAATTTCCTCTGGGCCCAGGAGCTCACACCTCCACCCAGAAGTCGCCTTCTTTGCAGACATTCAGCTTAATTCATTTACCTCCTCGGATTCGTGGTAGACGTCCTCCCCTACCCACATTAAATTCACCCTTTACCCTGAGATACCCAGATGCTCTCAGTGTATGCTTCCCGAGAGAAATGGTAAATTTTCATTATTCTTAACTAAATTCCCCTCCAACCCCCTTTACTGACATTTTGAAGGTATCTATATGCCTCCTATAATTTTATGTCTGGAGAAAAAAAGTTTTTGACAACATTGCATATCATTGGAATGTGATACAATAATCTCAATTCCCTCCCACCCAATTGATCTGCTTATTAAGTTCGGATTTTCCAATCCGTCTCCTGAGAGCCAGGCAACATGATACTACTCACTGATCAGTGAATAGCATAGCTTTACATTGGCACTTACGCAAGGACCCAGACGGGGACTGTGAAAATCTGTTTCCTACTCTATTCTCCTTTTGCACTTGAAATCTCACATATGTGCACATACTGAACTTAACAACTCATATGAGAGGAAGCTCATAAGAGGTGGAACTGTAACTGTTTTCCCTCGTTTAGAAAAACACAATATTAAATCAACCCACCGAAAAGAATGAAGGTCAGTGGTGGCAGAGAAGGATTTTTGTCTTAATTCTCAATGGCCCTGCGTATAGGATAGCGAGAGATACTTTACATGAAAAATATTTCACAATGTCGCCATCTAAAAGATTGGCCTCAAATGTAAATATTTTGGAGACATCGCAGTATTGCTCTCCTCAGAGGGTTTCAAAGTTTGGCAACTAAGTTAACATGCAAAATAGCTGAAAAAAAAGAGAGAGAATCCCTGAATGCGGAAAGGATATGAAGAACGAGTAACTATGAAAAAACCCTTGGTAACAAATTACCTGGCATCTTCCTGGTCCTTCAGATCTAAAAGTGTATGTGTATGATGCTCTGAAACTCTACATATAGGTTTCTTTTCATACGGGGTACTTTTAAAATGGCCATTTACAGTGCACAGACATAACTACGGACCCAGGAATCTGTATATAGAGTTAGATAAAAAACGGTTCTTTATTAAAATAACACCTGCCCATAACTTCAGCATCAATAAAAACTGCCACTATTGAAATGTTGAACATATCTCCTCCAATCTCCCTATGCCTGGCCTGGGTCTCTCGTAATCACATGACTCCTGCTAGCAGGGGGAAAAAGGATGCTTGAAAGAAAGAACACTTCCCTAAAGCTCTAATCCCATTCCTAACAAAATCCACAGGGCATGCTTCATTGTCTCAGACTGACAGTGTCACAATGACCTCTTGGGCAGCTTCTCCTTAGCAGTCTGGCAAAGATAATTCAAAGGCTAACCTACTAAACTCAAGCTGATTTAATATAGTCATTATACTTAAAATTTCCCTTTCTGATGGGAAGAGTGCAAGTAGAAGCAGAAGCAGAGTAGAAAAGGGGTGTGTGTGTGTGTGTGTGTGTGTGTGTGTAAGGGTTTTACAAAATCTGTTTTAAGTTCATATGATGAATAAAATTGAAAAGGAAGACTCAAAATGAGAACATACTTTTCACAGTAAATTGTGACAATGCCATTTCCAAAAGTAAATTATTTAGAAAAGTGATGATTTGTGTGGGGAGTGGTAGGGATCAGGGAGACTCAGGGAGCAGTTTAGGGAGGATGCACCTTACTAGATACAGTGGAGAATGGCTCTGGGCTTGGAAGGCCTGGGTCACATGTGACCCAGTACTCCTCTGGGCTTCAGTGTCCTATACAAGGAGAGATGCTGGGTGGCACCTCTGAAATTCTACAATGCATGTAATGGCTAATCCTCAATAGCTACCTATCCCTTTCAAGATTTCATTTCAACCTATTCCTCATTTCTGGTC